TACTACTACTACTACTACTACTACTATAGTTTTACCTTTTTCGCTGTGTTTGCTCATATTTTTTTTTTCGTCTTCATTCTGTCTTTCTTTCAAGTAGAAAGGAACACAAAGGTGAGGTAGAAAAATAAGAGGTATACATTTATCACGGAAATACTATAGTAAATAAGTACGAATGGGTGATGTGCATCGCGACGAAGAGGCTTTGGATGGAACCATCTACTTTTACTCACCACTCACTACTCCACCTGCCCGTAACAAGTACATCAAACTAATTTCAGATTTGCTTCAAAACACCCCTATAACGGATGTTTTTCTTAGTGGCGCCTCTGATGCTATTTTATTGTGTCAGGATGCGAGAGAAGTCCTTGAGAAGGAATGTGTTGTGTTAGACATTGATATCACTGAGAAGGATGATCTTATTATTGTTGGTGATATCCACGGTCAATTTGTAGATTTACTTCACAGCGTACTCTCTATACAAGTAAAACAAAGTGGAAAAAATGAGGGTTCCTGCAAGTTACCACAACCAGAGTATAAATTTTTATTTTTGGGTGATTATGTTGACCGTGGCCCTCGCAGTGTTGAGGTAATAACCCTCTTGCTTGCATTAAAGATAGAGTACCCGAATCACATATTTTTACTACGCGGTAACCATGAGGAGGCGCAGACGTGTCGCATGTACGGTTTCTTTCAGGAGTGCCGGGCTAAGTTAGAACGTGGAGTGAATACCAGTAATAATAATAATAGTAATAATAATGATAGTGGTGAAAGTAGTGGTTGTGGAAACACGAGCAGCTCTGCGTGGCTGCAGTACAACATGGTCTTCTGCTGGCTGCCGCTGGCGGCGGTGGTGCGGTGCCCGTCGGGGATGTTCTTCTGCGCCCACGGCGGTTTGAGTCCGCAGACGAAATTCATCGCCGGCCTCAAGTCGCTGCGCCGCCACGAGTACGGCCAGTCGTGGGACGACGCGGCCCTCTTCTACGCCCCCTCCTCGCCGCGCAGCACAGACGCCGGGGCCATGTCGCTGGCAGACGAGCGAACCGTCATTGACGGACTGCTCTGGTCCGACCCGGAGGAGAATGTCTGCGGCTGTCATATGAACTACAGAGGATGCGGATTTATCTTTGGGCCAGATGTCACTCGCGAGTTCCTCGATTGCAATTACGGATATACATTTCCACAGAAAGATAAAGGAGAGACGAACGGGACGCTGCAGTTCATTATACGAGCCCATCAGTGTGTACAGGAAGGATATCAATGGGCCCATAATGGTCTCGTACTCACACTCTTTTCTGCACCAAACTACTGTGGAGTAAATAATAACAAGGGGGCTATAGTGATACTCCGCGGCAAGACACAAGTAGGAAAGGATCGTGTTTGCTTTGATTACAAGGTCTATGAATCTGCTAGTTCCTATGCAAGAGAAATTGGTGATGAAAGTAATATTGATGATGATGATGGTACAGGTGCTGTAGCCGCTGCACCAGCAGTAGATGTTTTAAGATTGTTCAACTACTTCAGAGATAAAGAATAGAAGCGAAACGTACACCTTAAGTGGAGATTTCTTTTTTTTTTTTTTTTCTCCACTCTTTTAAAGAGATAGAAAATACTAAAAA